AAGATTCACGATCACGTGGTGTCAATGAATGGTTGGCCGGGGAATAGCGTGTTATTCGATAGCAGAACTTAGCTTTTGAGTTTAGAAAGCAACTCTCCCCCTTGGACAGCAGTTGAAATATAAACTGACATTGACAGTTTTATTTTGACATTTTTATTGCTGAGTGTAAAATGAAATTTCACAGCAAAACTAATTGCAGCTGTATTTATAAACACTTTTCTGTATCTCAGAAGTGCTTTTTTCTTTTCCAAACTGAACTGAAATTCATTTTTTGTAAATGTACGCAAAAAATGCCGAAAAATCTGCAGGRATTTTCTAAAATTATGTACTGCAATTGTCATAAATGCGAGGCATTCTAGCAGTGACTCTAGACCAATAAATCTTTATTCTAAGACTAGACTTTCAATCATGGGAAGATATCTTGAGACAGGAACTTCTACAACCACTCAGACATCTTATACATTAGGTTATTACCAAAAGCTAAAAACAATTCATGTCATTATACACCTTTCAAAGTTCATTTCATACGCTAAAAAACTTTAGTGGAACACTTTGCAAAATTACAAAGGAAATTAAGAGCATAATATTGAAAAGGGGAAGTCTATTTTTACAGAACGTCGTAAAGCATTACTTCAAAAGAGACTGGATTATCTTGTTCTGCAAAACTTAATTTGTCCTTATTCCTTGGGATGMAAAGTTATAAAGCCAATTTCAATATAATTTCTTCCTTGATTTCTGGGATTTGTTTATATTTGTGATTCAATACAACACGATTAAGCTAACAAATAGTGGAAATATCATTCTCAGTAAGGGAGTTCCAAGTGACACTTCAATCTTAGCATTGATCAAAGTATAATCTTATAGACATTACGTAACAAGCGTGGTATTACTGGCCAAGAATTGACATGCAAAACCTTAATTAACAAAAAGGTATAAAAAAGCTTCGAATTGATACAGTCATTCGTAAACTTCCRMCGATCGATTCAGTAYTATATACAAACTCCTGAAGGCAAATGATGTCTGTTTTTTACCAGAGCGAAGTCACAATGTCAGATACAGCTAAGTAAGATAACATAYATRTSAATTAGKTGGTTYTTTTCTCTGAGTTTGTGGGGCAAGATGTACAATAACTCTCTRACAAAAGTACAAAGTGAAGCCATGCTTTTCTGTTGTGCGAACAACAAACTTATACTATTATTTCTCAGACTGTTTCTAAAGTAAACTCTAGTATCTAGCCATTGTATTTTATGCCTTTTTAAAGCAATGCAAACAACAAATAACGTTTTACATGTAATTTCKACATAGAATTACAGTAGAAGGAGATTCGTTTTAAAAAGACTTCCGCCATCTTGGTACTTTTATCACGACTATGACGCACTTTGCAAAAACTGAAAAAATTGCTTCGTTAGTGAAAATGATCATTGAAAAAATTACTGATTTAAGATTAGTCCGCTTAATTGGAACGTGTTAATCAATGAAATTACAATCGTACCAAGGACGAAACAATCTTGATCGTCAACGTGTTAGCTCTGTCAGTTGTTTGGCTTTWTAATCTTTTTAAGCAATTATAACCATTGACTTTGAACTTTCATGTTTTCTTTTTACTTTTAAACTGTCTGGGATTGTTTAACGCCATTTAAAACTCAATATATCACTGAATCAGTCAAACAATATCAATATTTGGTCAGATTYACGGCTCGTGTTTTCTCACTAACAGATGCAAAGAGTACATATGACAAACCATCAATCATAAAAAGGACGAAACGTGTAAAATGCGAGCAATGTTTGCTTTTTAGAGGCAAATCGATCGTAGGAATCTCAAATTTGAACTGATTTTAAGGGCGAACCACGACCGCGGTGCATGCCGGTTACCTACTGATTTTTTTCTAGCAAAAGGAATGACTTAATCAAAATGACTGAAATCAGTAGTAAAATAAACGATAAAGAATGACAATGAAAAAAATGATTATAAGATGTTAGCTTCTGATAATGTTCATAGTATAATCAATATAGYTACAGGACTTAAAACGTCAAATTGAATATTAATCTATAACATGGAGACCCGTTTAAACTGACTTCAAATTACCATAAATCGAGATCTTATCTTAAAGAYGCTAGTYAYACAACCAATGTGTGTATTTTTACWTTTTCTAAGATGAAAACATATGGTGCAAACTATAAAMCATTTTAAAATGTCCAAATGAAAACGAGAGAGCTTMAAAGTCAGGAATCWCTAAGTTCAMTATTATCAACAGGTTAGGAGTGAGTATACGTTAACGGAAATTAAATAATTTTCTATCTTTTATTCTCATCCTCTTTTAATCGAATGCGTTGGAGTTAGAGGACCAATTCATAAGCTTTCATATCCTTTAGTTTGTAAGATTTGAGTCACTAAGCCCATTTAGATTTTGACTGGTGTTATAAACTCGATTTTTGTGGGCGTTTTGAGACGAAAGTTTAACCTTGTTAGTAGGCTGATACACTAAGAATATAATAGCACTCTGAAATTGCTGTTTTAAAAGTAATTGTTCAYTGTAAAAGAGATACTTAGAGAAGTGAATAGAAATAAGAGTAAATTTTGACAGGTTTACTTGATAAAAATGACGTTTGACTCGACAAAATTGGAATATACTCGACAAAAAGCGACTAACAGTGGAACTAGAAATAACATATTAAAATTATCTCGTTAATGCTACCTTTTCACTAGTCAAAATAATCTTTATTCATTCATCATTTCAGTTTTTCATTTATTATTCTTTCTATCCATTCATATTTATACGTTTTAACCGATCTCATCATTCGTTCATCCATTAGATTATCCATTTCTTCCTGACTCAGTCTTGGGCATTCAGTCATTCATTCGTTTCTTTAATCCATTGATTTAACCATCTGTTCCTGACATGTTCATTTAGCCTTTCATCCTTCCATCCATTCAATTACTTCTCAATCCACCCCTCATTAATACATATGCATCAGTATCACGTACACGTTGTCTGGGACGAGATGACGGGAATACAACATTTGTGTTTGATGAACGACAAAACAACTATGTATCGTAGTCATAGCTAAGCCACTCATTATTCCAGTTAACTTCAGTTTTCGACCAAGAACTTTCGCGAGAGTTCTCCTTGGTAACTCCTAATGTCTACAATCGGGATTTACTAATACTGAAAAATTCAAAATCGTAGCATTAGACATCGATTGCCCTTTTCTTTTCAGTTATGTTGAATAAACCTGATATATAATCAGAACAAATAAATATATTCACAAAAAGGAAAACAATAAATCTATTTCATAGCCGAGATCATTGGGTGCTACAGTCTACATAGGATCATTTAAGTAAGAAATTATAAAATGCGCCGCATTCTGAAACTGAAAACTAGAAACTGATCAAAAGCTTCAGAGAGAGAAAATACTGAAATTCTTATAACAAGGTTATAGGAACGTGGTATATTCACCACCTCTTGACCAAACAAAATTGTTCTTTTTTTTCTGTTTGTCAGTGTAAGCCAACACGTCTAGGTCCACTCATGTTCAAAAACTCTAGTCGCCATTGCGATTCGTGACGTCATGGGAGGTTGTGGGCGACACTTGTTATCTTTCACTGTTACATTTTGGCGAGTAAAAGGAGTCTTTAAACGTCTTTCCAAAGTAGATTTGTAAAAAAAACTGTTGAATAACTTCACGTTCAGTGATAACGATAATGACTTTTAAAAGGATTGGTATTTTTAAACGTTCACAGGAATATTGTTAAAAAAAAAACTGGCTGAAAATGGTCGCAATGGGAATCAGTAGATCAAACATTTAGGACTTGTTCCGTTAAAATGCATTTGTCCATATTTCTTTATTTATTCCAGTTTTCATTTATTCATTTTCTTTATTCATTCTTTCATTCGTTTATTTTACAGAAATTTCGTAAAATATTTTAGACGAGAATTCAAAGACATTAATATCTTGATTCTAAAAAGAAAAGGAACAGATCGTTCAGCTTAAATAAGCATAAATTGCTTAATAGCTTTCTGCTTTTCGTAGCGAAAAGGATTTGGGTTAATTCCACGGAAGCATAYAGTTGACATTTTCAATTGATGTTTGAACTGGATGCAAATAAATCCGGGACGATAATCAAACATTCAACGGTCAGTGTTTGGAAATAATCTGGCATCTGCACTGGAAAGCAAGCATTATTGATTTTAATGTCAAATGGTCTTGAATCTCAGTAATTAAAAGGCGAAAAAGACTTTTATATGACCGTAATTCTAAGCTTGGCATGAAAACACSATTTTTAAACTTAAAAGTTTGTCTTTGAACTCGTCTTTTTCTTGTGTAAATGTGTTTTTTTTTTACGTGCTTCATGAATTCCTTTTTAGTTCTTGCTCGCTTTTTTCAGTTTTCCCGCATACGCAATCAAAAAGCACTTTTACTTATCTTTTCAGTGTATTTGAAAACAAGTGGAAAGAGCTAAAATTACGGATTAACTTCCCTTTTCAAACGAACTTGTCTCTTTATTGACAAGAAATACATTTCAGTTGACTTTTCTTTTTCTACAAGTCTGCAACACAACCGGTCTGCTTTCCTGTATTCAAATCCACCAAAAAACCTTCTGCTACCTTGTAACAGCTCTTCCGACATTGCTTCAGGTGAAAAAGAATACGTTTTTGACTAGTTATTCTCATTTAATCAAGGTCTTTGTAAAATAGATAGCTTTATTCAGACATAGGAAACGTTACCGATCAATCTGGTAATCGATTACAAYTTCTGAGCGTGCGCCGATATAGGTGCAGTAACTTRGTCCACAAAAGTSTTTTGGCGGACCTCACATTTTCAATATTTTACATAATGTTTATTCTTTTTATGTTTTCGTTCTTTTACCATTTTCTGCTCAAAAACGTCCATTATAGTTATCTAGTAAAATCACGTATTGATAGAGAGCCATAAAAAGTACGAGAACACTCAAAGGGTTGCCGCTAGATGCTATCAGAAATATCCCAACTATAAGTCAAGATCTCCATGAGTGTAGTACTACTAGTATTATTGAACACAACAACCTTTTGACTTATGACTTCAAATCTAAAATAGCGAYCAAAAATCTTATTTTTCATCAAAAATTTCAAGGACTAGTTCCATACATTTGAGGCACTGCGTCCTCGTTTTTTCTTTGATAAAAATCAATCTTATCAACGTAAGACGATTATTACCAGCAGTTTAAATAAAAGTGGTTCCGGAATAGCRAAAAATATATAAATTTGAATGATTTCGAGGACAACTAACTGTTTAGAAAACGTGAAAATGGCGCARTGGAGGTGAAAACGTGAGGTTGAATTTATCAATTTCGTCAMCAGCGTGGTCCCACAATTATCAACAAAGAAYTCTAACAACTAGGGATTAACTTTTTATTGTGTGYATGTTCAACACATTGTTCTATACTATTCAAATTTGGAAAACGCTTATAATTCTCAAAATATCTATCTGGAATCTTATATCAACRTAGAGTTCGCAAAGAGATTATCTTCCCTAGGACCWCCGTAAAGCCGTTTTTGTTTGCTGAAGTTTTAACGAGTAGCAAAGCCGATTTTTAAATGTCAATTGATGGAAAGAGCTCATCCGATTGGTGGAAACAATGCTAGGCCTTGCATGACAGAGTTGCTAACATATGCAAAAATTTAAACACTTTGCTGACAACAGAGTTCCCACGAGAAAGCAGAGTCATTCGAGTAGAGCCCTTGAGATATTTTAAAAGAAGGAAGCCATTTTGAAATGATAGACAATGAACAAGGCTAGCACAAGTAACGGGGACGCCATTATACGGGATATTTTCGAATCTTGGGACACTAACAAGAGTGGATTTATCGAAAAAGCGGAGTTATACAAATGTTGCGAGGACTTACAGCTATCAACAAATGAATTAGAGCAAGTTTTTATTGAACTTGACGTGGACAAAGACGGTAAAATYAGTTTGAATGACTTTGGCGAGAGCTTTCATAAGGTCTGCAGCTTATTTCAAGTTAGTCGAGATGCGGTTTTGAATCAGGACATGTCTGAATACCAAAAGTTTGAGAAACTTTTGGAGGCGATTGGATTTCAGGGTTTACTATCAGGGTAAGATTGTYAGACAGCAGGAAAACTATTATCAATTGACAAATATTATACAAACAATTTTTTTGCGATGATAAATTTACTAGATTCTAGTTTTAAGACCACATTTAAGTTGTTGAAGTCGGCTCTTTGCTTCGTTAGGTTTATATTACAAGATAACAGCAAGCTTTTTCAACAAGTTATTTATATAACGGATAAATATAGGAATAAATATTGACAATRAGAGAAATTAACTTTAAACAATTACTTTATATGACATAGATTTATTATCAATTCATTTTTGATCTTTGAAACCCGTTCAACTAAGCATAAAAACAAAAACTATATATTCCATAACTGGAACATGATATCAGTCCGCTTTCAAATTCATCCAAAATTCACAAAAAAYACTGCCAAAAWTTTCTGCAGCCTGKGATGAAATATTCAATAAAACWATAATTGTTAATTATTTGTCTGGCAAAGTTATTGAAAATTAATCCTTTGTGAAATTATTCAATATTCTAGAGATAAAAGATCAAGGTTATTATCTATGCATGAATAGTTTATGTAGTGTACGTAGAAACGGTCTTAAGTCATCGGATGAGCGTCAACGTAAGTGTAATACAGTTCTGGCTGGGGGTTATTGTTCAGCAGTTTTATAATGTTAAGTGAAGAAAGAACCTTGAGATATTCTGAAAGACGTATAATTCGAAGTCTTGAAGAAGCAAGAGTAAGGTAGTTCTAAAAACATTGTTCCTTGACAACAGACAACTTGTAGCTTGCAAAAAAACGCAGAAGTGTTCGGCACAGTCTAATTTTAGAATTTTGTTGGCATGAAGAGCCAAAACTTGTGATAGTAGATAGAAATGTAGATTCAAATGGACTGGAATTAAGAAACTAGTGTAAATTTGTTCAATTATATGCTCATTGTAACTATTTGRCTATCACAGTCTGTTTCACTTTGACAATTACACCAAGCTAACTTTTGTTAGATATGGCTTCATAGATTTAAAAGTTACCCTCAAGTAACTCTCTCACGCATTCCTTGAAAAATTGATATTCTAAAACTCAGAAGAATCATTCTTTATACATTATTTCAGCAATGATTTCAATAAGATAGAAAAACAATGCGAAATTATAACGATACAGATTAATTAAATTGCTTTTTCTCTCTTGCAAAAGACAGCCAGCMAAAGCGACAAATTAATACCGACGGKAGCTAACAAAATATTGATCTTCAATTAAATAAATGCTTTAGGTAATCAAATACAGCATAAAAGCTATTATTTTCTCCTACAAAACTGAGTACTGATAATAACTGCATTCGCATATCTTTTCATTGAATTGGACTGTACGTGAGAAACGTCGATTTTCTCAGCAGTGCGTATCGGAAAGATTAATATATGCCATTCAAAGTTCGGAACTGGGTTATTGAAAAGATTACATCTGATAGGACATATATTTTTGTCAGTAGATAATCCCAGTTAGCATAAATCCTTCAACTTTATAAACGCAGTAGACAAATCTTTATAAAAGTGATTATAATAAGGTTCCATACAACATTAACTAAACCAGGCGCATAAAAGTTTTCAATAGTACTTGGGAAAAAAAAAACTTTACTGAGAAAAACATTCTCTTCAATTCGTTTTACTTAAGAAAGTGGCTTTAGCAAACGCTGTCTATTTTTGAATCGGAAAGGAAAAAAATTGTTAACTATTGACGTCATTACGATTGTCATCACTACAGGAAACATGGGAAAATCGATACTTATAAGTTATTTTTACACAAAATACTTCATCTTATGATTAATTTAGTACCATTTGAAGGCCATTTTCTGTTACTGATCAGGATTTAGATTATTATTTGATATATTGAATTTTATTTGAGAAACTGTCAAAGAGTAGTTTTTATAAAATTGGAATTAATAGTCAAAAGTAATTTTTTGAAAGTTCTTCATAATTGCAYGAGYCTGACAGGGCGAGWGCWWTTTGAGAACTTTCAAAGCATTACAATTCTGTTTTGTATTGTAATTTGTATTGCTTTAAAGTCAGACTGAGTTCATCATCAGGATGAAGAAGTTCAGAAAATCTTGAATATTAATCAATAACTTCTGATTCTGATTATGCTATAGCACAGCGAAAGCTCAACTCAATCAATAAATATTATTCACCATCACACAGCAGTATTTGCCCGCATTTGCTACATCGTTACATCACTATTATGTCGCTGAAGGATAACTTCTTATGATTAACATATTGTTTTATTTATATATTTTCAGCCATGAGTATGTTACGGAATTATTTCATCACATGCATAATGAAGCCAACTCGCCGCAAATGCTGTCGCTAYTGGAGAGCTTTTTGTTCAGTGTTGTGAGAGACATCAAGAATTATGAATCAGAAAACCAGAAACTTGAGGAAGCTCTCAAGAGGTAATTTTATTTAGTATGTTGATTTTACAAATTATTTGGACCAGAGGCATTGGGCGCCAAGTCATCATGGTGTTGGTTTTATTATGAGTCTTTAGCTTTCGCAACAAGAATGATAATCATTGTAACTAGCGATTGACTAGACTGACCAATTGA